TGGTTCCAAAGTTGTTTTACCAGACAAGACAGGGCTCTGTTCCACATCCCTCTATTCTCATCTGCATCCAGATGACATTAAATAGGATGGGCAGTACAGAGCCTGTCAGACTATTTTTAAACCTTTCATATAAAATTTAATTCATATCAATTTCAAATTTCAAAACATTTCTAGCTTCATAAAGTTTAATTTAGCTTATTTGGGTGAAATTGAGTGGTAATCAACCATCCAAGACCTGCTGCAGCCTCTTTAGGCCTGTGATGGAAACTAGTGCGCAAAGCTACTGGTGTTGTTTATACCTCGATTCCATGTCTCCAAGTCTCAAATCTCCTATAATAGTCTGAGTGAGATGGAATGAAGGAATGGTAGTAATGGGTAGACGACCAACAACCACTGCGGCTTTGTCTGCCCGTCTTTACAGCGTCCAGGAACACTGATTACATCTCCACTGCGGACAGACACTTAATTTGTGTTATGTGCGCCCAAGCACATTCCTGTGTGAGGACAATAGACGGATAGTGGTTACAGTGGCAAGAGTGACTCGTTGTGTCTGCAGGAGGACAGGGGTTGGAGGGCGTTTGGTGTGTGCATGTGAGAAGGCGAGTGATTTTGTGTCGATCCAACTGTATGTTTCTCTGTCCCTTTATGGTTGTCTGACACCCACACTATGAAAGCAGACAGTTTTTGCTATTTGAATGAGGTAATGACTGTGTTTACCAGGAAGTTAACAGTCATTACTTTGGTTGTGCCTGACTGATATCTTACTGTCTTTTACAGGAAACTTTGCTGCTAATTATTTTCTCTTGGGACAGGATTAAGCAACTGCAAGTAGACATGACATCGTACCCATGATGGAATTTGGTCAGTTAATTGAGTCACCAAATAAACCTTACAGTTTAGGCGGGTGGCGTTGGTAATTCTCAGAACTTAACACCATTTCTGAATGTGTCAGTCCCATGTTTGGGTTCTGCATTTAGTTTCCATAGCAACTTGGAAATGTGGGTGATGGAGTTTCAAAAATTTCATGTGGTACTAATCTTGTGATAAGACCATACATAGTCCCAACATGATCTGTGTGGATCTTAACGTCATCATTCTGACCCTCTGATATTTGGTTTAGTCGACAGGTGTTCCTTGTTACGTTTAGGTTAGTCACAATTTCAGCAGACTGTTTGATTTGAAAACATATGTCAAAGCGTCATTATGTTCTCAACATTTAACAATACCTGCAGGCTCAAGGTTTTTTAAGCAGATTGGATTGTGGCAAAGCTGGTAAACCCAGTGGTAATGTACAAACCATATCAAACTTCAGCTTTCATCATTGCCATGTTTGACCACTACAAGGCAAGTAATCCCTGTGATGATGTGGCCCTGCAGACTGACTGTGGACATTAAACCATAGAAGAATGGAGCTGATTCAGTTCAAGGAGGAATGGACAAACCCATTGTGAAAGGAATCAGATGATTTTTCTCCTGAGATGAACCATTTGTATCTTAGTTATATCAGTGTATGTGGATAAACATGTTGCTGTAAAGCTTCATGATGATACAGGGCTGGGATGTACTGTCAAACCAAGGGGCATATCAGTATCTTGTAATCAGTTCATTTCTAAAGAGTCGGGTTGAATAATAGTAGTTTGATTATATTAATGAGTGGAAACTATGTCTTACTAAAGCTTTTTATTGATATATCAATACCACTGGCCAAGTTACATCCAAAGGGTTTGGATGAATGCTTGTATTTTGTTAATGTTAGGGCTTGTAGCCAGAGTTGTTATTGGAAAAGTAACAATATTACATGACCCTGGTGAAATACTGGACATTATGAACAAAATAGATAACAATATTACAGCCCAGTACAATGCAGTCACAGAATGGTAATACTTTGTGCGGTTACATCCAATTACTCAGTTTAATATTGCAGATTACTCTGGTACCAAAGCTGAAGCCCAGTAATGTGCTGGAAAATAAGTGTCCATCATCAGCCAGCCATAATTACAATCTCTCCCTGAGGATTTAAGGGAAACGAGGAGAGACTGAGATTTCAATTGCACATTTCTTTCACACTCAATACTCAACTTGGGAAATGATTGTATAATGACAGATCGGTTCTTAGTTGGTTTTGGACAAAAAATATTCAACTCAGCGCCAGTTGCTGAGGGTGAGTGTAGGAGTTTTTAAAAAGATTTATTTGGAAATGAGATAAAAACTTAATTTGCATCTGAGGTTACAAGGGTTAGGTTTTTCTCAAGATACCAGTAGACACATTTTACAGAGTTGATATTTTACAGAGATATTGTAGAACTTAGAACTAATTTACACTTTCATACTTACTATGTACATTGTCCACTTATTTCAGTCCAGTTTTGTGTGTCACCTTGGCATGCTGTTCTTGTCAAGCCATTACACAGTACAGCTAGCACTGGGCTTTACTCTCATGTAAGGCCCTGTCGGGTATTTCATCACATTTGTTCTTGAGGTTAGAAATCTTCAAATTAGAAAGCAGATGTGATTATGGGTTTTTGACATGCCTCGGGGCACCACAAGTAAAATGAAAAAGTGAACTCTTACTGTTAGCGCAATGACCGGTTTATAATGTATTTTTGTAGAGAACGAGAACTGGATTTCATCCTCAATACTACTGAAATTGCTTCAGGAAGGAATTCCTTCTTGGCCAGTATGTACAAGTGGAATGATTAGTGTGATCTATGAATTTTTGCTTCGAATTAAGCCTCATCCTCCTCCTCGTACAAAGACATTTCTGTTGGTTAAGTTCTTTCTTCAGTTGAATATTGCTAGTGTAAGGCCAGACTTAATCCATGTGCATAAAACCACCACATGTGGTTGACTGGGTTTTCTCAGTGTCACAACAGTTGGATAAGTCACAAAGAGGCAAAACAGCTTCTTATTTTTCATTCTTGTTGTCCTACGTGTCCAGTTCATCTGTGTCACTGCTGTTTTTTAATTTTTTTTTATTCCACCGCTTGAGTCAGAGCGGTGATGAATTAAAACAAGAGCACATTCGCTGTTTGAAGTTTGAGGAGAGACAGTATTATGACTTCTCCCTTAAAGGTCAAGTCGAGCCACAAGCGTGATAAAGTGCACAGCGAGAGAGGGAGGAACAGAGGGGTTAAAGGAGAGAGAAGTGTTGAAATAACAAATCGGTCCTCACAGATGGCGGAGGCACAGCAGAGTGCGTTCACTACCACAAGGTTTTGACCATAATTAATGCCAATGCAGTACCACTCAGGCTGAGGGTAATACTATGACGTTGAGGAGGATTTTAAAGTTGAATGTAAATTAAGTAGTATGAGCAGAATGGCAGAAAATCCCCCATTACAGTTATTTTCAGTTTTCCTCAAACCACCATGATCTTAACTGTTCTTGATTATAATGTTAGTGCTGGTTTAGGGAGTCATCTAGTGGTCCTCCACCCTTAAGGCTTAACCTTAACCTCTGCCACCTGGCTGTTTACACCACCCTGCCACTTTCCCCGTGAGTAAGTCCACTGAGCAGGAGATCTGAGAAATTATGTCATTGCCACTCAGCCAACAGGGAGGAGGGATGATCTTGAAGAAAGTGAAGGCTTTGATTAGGAATGTTATTGTAAAGAAATCTGCCTTCAAACAGTGAGGAAAGACTGCAGTGGAGAGAAACATAGAAGGTCTTGACCAGGGTCCCCCGTGCTCTTTGACCTTGGGAGTAATTTGTTTTTCTTTAAACAGATTGGCTAAATGTTCGGCACGTTGAAGCGACGAGCCAATGTGTAAATCTTCAAACACGCTTTTCAGGGTTTCAATCTGGTCGCTACTCCTCTGAGAGAGTATTTAACCCCCCCCCCCCACGCCCTTGTCTCCCCCTGTCTTTTTAGACTCTTTCACTAACATACATTCTTTGTCTTTCTCACGTTCTCCCCCATTTCTAACTATTGCGATTTTGAAGTTGTGATGGCAGCAGGTTCAGCCACGTTGAAGGTCAGCGACGCCGCCTCGGGAGGGGAGAGGGCTTTAGATCTCTTTTCATATTTATGGTTCGGCTCCTGGATTGTGACCATTATCTCATGACAACATCACATTGTTTGACAAATGAGTTTCCTTGTCATGTAGGGATCAGCATCCTGTGGTGAGAAGTGGACAGATAGTATTTGTATGACCTCACTGTAGCACAGATGTGCTGAATGCATGGATGGTCATTTGACCAGCATGTTTGCTTTTAGTACTGCATGTTTTGAGAATGGGTTTAGATGGAGGGGTATGTAGCCATATGCACTTATTGCATGGCACCTTATTTAAAACTAAGTCAGTGTTTTGCACACTGTGATATTGTGAAATCTATCTAAAGCACCCATCTGCAGGCTGTCTGCAGGTACAGATGAAGTTATTGAAGAAATCATGCTCCTTTACTATTTTCAGCCATACTGCCATGTTGTGAACCACAATACAAGGAAATGTGTGGAAAATTGTTGATCGGAAAATTGTCACCATTGTGAAATTGTTTGAATGTCAAAAGGTAGGACAGCGTCTGTTTATTGCTGTCCTCCTGAGTCTGTGTGTTTCCATGCAGCCACACACATGGATGTGCTCCACACTGAAGTGATGGATATGAAGCTGAGAAGGTTGAGAGGCAAACTATCTGCCTCTTATTTAGACGTGCGGAGAACAGAGCCTTCCACATCCAACCGCACAAGTACACACACACACACACACACACACGCAGCCATAATGAGCTTCCACATCAGCTGTTTTCCACCAGCCAGTTTATTGTGTGCGACCTTCTAGCTCTGCTTCCAACAGCAGCCTGTTCAGTACCAGTAAACAGGAACTTTGTTGTCTCCCTTCTAAAATCCTCTAAACAAAGAATCTTGTTGTTTACTTGCCTTTTGCTTGGGGATAAATAAAGGGCAAGAAGACTAACCTCTGATGTCTGGTGTCTTCTGTCTCTGTTTTGTGTGTGTGTGTGTGTGTGTGTGTGTGTGTCTCCTGCTCTGTCCCATCCTGCAGCTGTTGCACATCTGTATCGAGGGATGGGGGAACTGGCGTTGGTCAGAGGCCTTCAGCGTGGACAACGTAGGGACTCTGCTGAGGACCATTCAGTACAAAGGACGAACTGCCTCACTCATCATCAAGGTGGCGCAGCTCAACGGTGTCCAGAAACAGGTACAGACTGTTTTTCTTTCATTTTTCAATCAATACTTAAATATCAAAAGTATTCCATTTGCTGTTTTAGGAACAAGTTTGTTTTGAGAAAAAAACAGTATTAACACCAACTTACTGGCTTTTTCTGGAGCTTTCAACCACATCTCAATGTCTTCATCACTAGATAGAGTTTGCTCAGTTGTCATGTATTTGTCAGGTTTTGTATTTCCTTGCAAGAATTGTGACAAATACAAAAATATAAACAATTTAAATTCCCTGTATAATTAACACACAACTTTGTAATTAGCCTAAATGTACTACAAGGACTTTTTAACTTTTGTATATATTATATTCTAAATGTAATACTGATGTCTCTATATGACCTATAAACAAGCAAGACAACCAGCAAGAAAATTGCCTATTTCTACAGTATATAATATATATAATTGTTCTCTGCACCATAATGCCCACCACTGGGTCGGATTCGATCAGATTCCCCTCAAAATCAATAAAGCGAGGCCGTAGAAACACTCCCGCTTCTGTCCACAGGGGCCGCCACACTCAACACAAAATCAAAGTTTCTTGTAGCTGCTTTAAGCAATTAAAGGAGAGACAATGGAGAGCGTTACCCAACCCAAAAAAGCCCCACAGTACTGGCGACACATTAATTGACAAGTGAAGATTTGTGGTGCAAATACACCACAGCAATAAACAAGGACAAGTTTTCAACAAAACCAAGAATATATGGATGCTGCAGATTATCTTCCTGCTAATCTTTACAAGGCCTTGTAAGTGGTTCAGAACTAGGAACGCAGGAAAGCAGGAACTTGTTTGCTGCATTATGCCCATCGACCGCTGCTATGTGTCACTTTGAAACCCTGGCCTTTTTCCCAGCACTCCTTTTGGGATGAGCACTTTTTAGTCTGCACTTTTTTTCCACTTGTATGTTATGATTTACTCGTTGCTCGGCTAACAACAGACTGTATTCTGTTTTTGTCAGTTTTGGTAATCTGTTTTATAGCACTAAAACAAAAGCTTATGAGCTTGAAGCCATCCAAAAACACAATGTGCCCCATCAATCCACAAAGAAGATCACAGGAAATCATAAAGCATCATAAACCAAATCATAAACCGGCCGTGTTCGCCTTTTACACCAAGAACTCTGGTGGATCATGTTTGTATTTTTCCACAAATACAAGGCAGAGTCAGTGTATTCCTGAAAATGCGAGATGCCATCAGATTATAGCGGTGACACTTTATGTAAACAGTGTCAAGTGTCGCACATGTCTCCCTCTCGTCCTCCAGACAAAACAGACTCGGCCTCTCACATTCCTTCCTCCGTCTGTCCCAGACTTTGCTTACATCTTGTTCCCATTGGATCCAATGATAGGGTATGAGAGTTGGTCACATCCAATTCACAACACAAAGCCTCAGAGTGGGACAGCGGCTGCCACTACAGAGGAAACTGGCTCCCGCCTGCATAAGCATACCTCATGTTGTGTGTTGTCACACACTGCTGTGCTCTCTCGCTTTGTCTAGCTTCCCTAGCTTCCCTATGGTCTTTTATTGTGACGGCCTTTTTATCATTCATACTGGCACCTCATGTTGACTGCTGTTAAAAAAATCCCCCTCGTATAAATCTGCCTCTAATAAATGCCATATACACACGGATCTGCACATACATGCATTCTCTAATTACTCACACACACTGGGTACACTTTAATGCCTGTGCTAGAACACATGTGAAGGCAGGGGTATTAGGGCTGCTGCTGACAATTACTGTCATGATCAATGAATCTCTTATTATTTTTTTAACACTGATTGATCCTTTCAACAGGTACACAGTTTACAATAATATTCAAAAAGAAAAAAAGCAACACATTTTCACATCTTTCAAATTTTGTGTACAAATCTGTGTGTCAACGCAGAAGGGAAGAGGAAGATGGGCAGTCAGGGAAAAAGAGTGTGTGTGTGAGAAAGGAATGATTGATGGAGAGACCCCTCATTAGGGGCCAAGATCTTTCTCTCTTTCTCTCCAAGATCATTATCAGTGCCACAACCTGCAGAACACACACAGCCATGCACACACATGCAAAGATACACACACACACATATACACACACTCATGGAGAGTGGTGGAAGCAATCAATTCTGAGCACAATTAGATGTGTCACTCCCAGATGAGTGCTCTCTGGTGGCTGTGGCTTGGCTCTGTGTGTGTGTGTGTGTGTGTGTGTGTTCATTTGTGTCCATAAATATACACATAGCATATGCACATGTCCACACAAGTATGCATTGTATGCATATTGGTGGTACGTGTAATGTAGGACTAAAGGAAAGTAGTGTGCGTGCACATATGTATATATGCAAAAGTAATAGACAGTGATCAAGCAGTGAGCAATCAGGCTACATAGAGCAATCCTGTGATAAAAACAGACCGCTATAGAGGCCTAGGAACCATTTTAGTAATAGTGAAAGTTACATTTGAGGTTTTATGAATTCCTAGCTCCAGTGTCCTTTCAGTTTCGTTGCTAAACATTATTCATGCATCCCCATTTCATAACTAAATCTTACACACCTCACACCTGGATAGCTGGTTGTTTTTAGCATTCCTAGACTTGAGGAGCAGCTTTTTGGATTTTGCTGTTCAAGTTCCTACTATGTCTCTAGCACCCCTTACATACTGTGCCAGTGACATTGGACTTGTGACATGTGATCCCATAACGGTCCATAAAAGCAACGTGCTTTAGGTCTAGAGCTAAAAGACTTTCAAATGTGTGTGTTGTTAAGGTTTTGTATGTTTCTGTTAGGTCAGAGACCGTCAAAGCTTCTTCTTTTGAGGACATTATAAGATCACAGGCACCTCTGTGTCCAGTGCTCAGTGTTTATTGCCTCCTGCTGTACATTACAGTACAGAGATTATTTTATTTACAATTGTCCCCTGTAACATTCTTCTTTCCAGGTAATAATCTGTGGACGGCAAGTGATGTGCAGCTACCTGACTCAGGACATTGAGCTGCGGGTAGTGCAGCACTACGTGGGGCCCGACAGTCAGACGGTGGTAAGGGAACATTGCGACTGCCTGGAGGCAGGGGCCAAGTTGCCTTCCTATGTGCTGGAGGACGCAGAGATGACAGAGCTGTGTGTGAGGGCCCGAGGAGATGAAGACTGGTCCCAGGATGTTCAGCTGGAGAGGAGGGACAAGGGCAGCAGCAGCTCTGTTGTACAGGTATGGTAACACAAACATAGACTTGGACTGAGACTGAATAAGGAGCTGACTGGATGCTCTGTCCTGTTATAGGCTACATTAGTTATTTTAAATGTCTTTTTAAAAAAAGACATGTTTGATACGGATATGAGTATAGACTGTAGTATTTCCATTGCACAGGGAGTTCAAATGCAAGCTGTTGAATGTGTTAGCCAAACAAACACAGATAGATGCACACATTGCACACCACTTCTTCCAACCGGCTCTTCATCTACACACACATGTTTGGAGCTGGTGACCGGACCACCAACTGGGACCGGATCCTCTTTCTCCTGGGTGGCCACAGTGGCAGAGCTTCCACGCTGCTACTCGCAGTTAGGGAACAGATTGAGATCTTCCCCTCAGATAGGCTTACAAAAGGCCCTCCAACCAATAACCCAACCATGTTGAGAGGCAGAAAATACAGTTTATGCTCTCTCATAACAACACTAACCATAGACAGGAAACCCTAGCTGATATGTGGGCACAGAGAGAGGCTTTGAAGGCACTTTCACACCGCTGGATTAGTGCCAGACAGTCACTCCTTCACTCCATCCCTCGATCCCTGCTGCTCTTGGCCTTGGCCTGTGTTTTTCTTATTCCCTTTCTTTGTCTGTCCTTCTGTCTTCGTTGTCTTCTTTTATAAGCGCCATGCTGTTAACAGTTAGCCACTCTCAGCTTCTGTGTGTGGGTCTGAACATCTCTGACTCCACTCCAAACTCCTCTGTTATCTCTTCTCCTCAGATCATTCATTACACATATGGAGGGTTGGCTCCGAATAAGAGAGCTGCCTGGACTAGTAGCTGGGTCCTTAGATCTTGCTATCTCTTGTCTGTCTCCTGCTATTTCACTCTCTCGTTCCCTCCCTTTCTTTTACTCTCTCGCCCACACACTGGCTTGCTCATCTATCTTGCAGTTGTTAACTCCTCTGCTTTATTTACTTCATCCTCTGGTATTCAGCTCGTCCACCTGTTCCAGCCTTTATTTCTTTGCCCTGTCGACGTCTGTCTCTTTTCTCATCTGTCTCCTGATTATCTGAGTCAGTAATCCATCTGAAGTAACTCCTCTCCCTCATATCTCACCTTCTTCCCCCCTAACTCTTATTTTCAACTTATTTTTTTGCCCTTGTCCTTTACTTTTGACAAAGTACAGGAGGTCGTCTTGACCTTATCCCAGTGGTGAGTGTTTTTGGTGGATCAGGCCTATAGTATATCTGTTCACCAAAGTCTCACTCCCTTATCCTAACAAGGCTGTTTTGCAACTCCCACTATATTAAAACTGAATGTTCGCTCTGTCTCTTTGCTGTACTTTGCTGTCCCCACCAGTAAATGAAGTCCCCAGTTCGTCATAAACTAGACCACTTGTAATGTGCCTTGGCATCCAAACGCTTTAATGAGGAGTGAGGAGTAAATGGGACAAACACCAGTGACACATTAAGAGCGCTCTGCCTTCGGTGGGCACATTCTCAGCCTTTAAATCTTGCTAAGATTTAACTGCCTGTAATGGCCCATTATCTGGCACTAACAGTTGTCAGTCCCCTCAGCCATGATATTGTGTTGCAGGGCTTAAGGGAGACTTAACTTTTAACTACTGGAAGAAGCCAAGAAACTAAGTTTTTTTAGGACAAAACATGATAATGCGTTACTGATGGAGGCAATAAACGTTCTGTCAGTGAGTGAGAGGCATGATTTCAGTAATCAGATATCCATATTTTATAATCTAACCACGAGCAAACAAACAAGTTGCCCTTGAGTGTCCTTGATCATTTTTTTCTCATTAACCATTTACAATAATGGAACGATATTAGGCGTACTGCAAACAAAACATTCTCCCAACTACACTATCACCACAGTTTTGAATTAGACAATTAGATTTCCAAGTAATCAGACTGTCAATAACAGTCTGTTTGTCTCCTTTCAGGTGCCTTGCTCCAGCGGTTCTTTGTTGTACGTGTGGTGTACTCTTATCACAATTGAACCTGACTCTCACATGCAGCAGAGAGTGGTGAGTATCCTGTGCACATGCACACTTAACCTTCATTTTTTTTCTTGCTATATGTTATTACTATATGTGTAGGTTTCTTCAGCTCTTGCCATAAAAAACACAATGGATGTGTGAAAGCAAAACTTAACATTTATTTTCATTTGATGACTGACCATACCTTTGTATTGATCTTGTTAGGATAGCTGTAATTCGTTGATTAATCCAAAATAAGAAAACAGCATTCCTGGCTGCTGTATTACTGAACGCCTAAGATTCTCACATCACATCCATTTACATGTCCTTGCCAGTTTAATTTATACAGTCAGTATGTGTGTGCAGTATGTTTCACTGATGATTGTTCTATATGAATCCCCTGTTTCAGGTGGTTTTCAGTCCACTGTTTGTCATGAGGAGCCACTTGCCAGATCCAGTAATTGTCCACATAGAGAAGAGGAGTCTGGGACTGAGAGAGAGCCAGCTGATACATGGCCAGGGCCACCAGGAGCCCCTGCTAAACACAGAGGCTGACCTCACCCACCACCTCACTTTCCAGGCCAGGTAAAAAGAACAAAACTTATGAAGCAATATCAATTTGAGCTTTGATACATTAAGACCATACAGTACATATGAGTGTTTAAAATGTACAGTAAGTCCCCAGCTTTAAAAGATAAGGCAGGTCTAATGTTTATTAAAAAATAACTCGCCAGCAGAAAATCCAAAATACTATTGTTTTTACTGTTCTACACATCTCATGATATATTAACACAACTCAGTGTTTGTCCTTATGACTGAGGTAGACCTTCACCTGCCACTTCATCTCTGGAAGGTCTGTTTCCATCCTCACTATTTTCTCTTAACGTGCCCATCAGCAGGACAAATCCACTGGATCGTTTATTTCTTTCAGTCTAGTGTTCTATTATGTCATCACCAACCAGCTCATAGTGCTACAAAGGACAGATTCTGACTCTGGCCTTCTGTAATGGGTTTTTTATGCCTCAGTTTAGCAAAGATGGAGAGACACTTACTTAAGATTCTCTCATACCACATTCTGGTTTTGTGAGCCAACATGAAGACATGATCCAGGGGAATCCAGGCACATTTCAAGGGAACAGGAAGCCAGCTTGGCAGCAGCTGAGATGCAACTCCAATTCCAACATGTCAGGTTGGACCATAATTGCACCTCATTTAGATACAGGCCCTAACAGGGAGCAGGTTTTTGGCCCCATATCAGCTCTGTGTTTGTCTGTGTGCATGTGTTTGTATGTGCGTATGCACACATGTTTGTGTGGGTGGATGAGTAGTGTATGCACACATGTGTCCTTGTATCTGTGTGTGGTCTGTGTCTGTCATTGTCTTAGTTAGCTACGTGCCAATGCAAGTGTGACAGCCGCCACTTCATCATGGGCAGAGTCTGTCACATACATCACTACTGCGCCTGTTACTCTGTCCCAGTTTGTCAGTGTGTGTTCACACTTTCTCATATTGTCGATGTGCTCTTGTAAGAGACAGCTCTTTATTCAGTTTATCATAGTAGGCTCCACGAATCAGTTGTCGAAATGTTTAGTTGCATCAAAATGTGCCCATAAAAGAAATGCAGTGTATCTGTAATTCATCTGTAGATTATAAAGTCTAATAACCATGATACCTCATGTGTCATGTCACAAGTATAAATGGTGGATGCTGTAGTCCAAAGTGTCTTTCAGTAACATGAGTGTTTACATTTCAGCCTGGGTGGCCCCAGGGGAAATAACTACCACATGTGCATATGCATACTGTATTGTTGTTGTTCCTACTGTATTTGTTATCTGTACATCTGTAATCTATGTTGTTTTATTCAAATCCATGGAAGAAAAATCACCCCTTTGGTAGCAACTAGTGGTGATCTGAATAAACAGAGTAAACGTTGAGTGTAATTGACTCCCCTTGAGAGAATTTCTTTTTGCCGTAACCGTTGTGTGTTTAGATATCTGGTCACAAAGTTTGTTTTGATTTCAGCTGCCATAAAGGAACCACAGTGGCCATACAGTGACTGGGAATAGATTTGGCCCCTGTTGTCATAGATAAATCCTTTTCATGTGCGCAAAAAAGCAAGCTCAGAAACAACCAAGTGTCTTGTCTCTCTGTATTGCAACCACAATGCTCCTTGTGTTTACGATCCGTCCCCTGCCTAAACCGCCTCTCACCACACAAACTTACATATACCCCCCCCCCCCCCCCC